CACTCTGCGCCTGCATTCCTCTAACCTCATCTGAGCTACGAGGTACAGCAGCTATCGGGAGCTGCGCACGAGTCCAGGAAGTTCTGCCTGGGAGCTGCTGGGGCGCTGGGCATAGGAAGCCGCTGTCTAGCAGCTGACTGGGCACCTCGGAAACCCAGGAGCTGTGTGCGAGCCCAGGAAACACTGCAAAATAGCTGCCTGGGAGCCGCGCGCGAGCTTCAGAAGCGCTGTTCCTAGGCGTCGCCCACGAGACTAGTAAGCGCCGCCTAAGAGCTGCAAAGGACCTGCGCACGAGCTCGGGAAGCGCTGCACAGCTGCGCGGGATCTGCGCAGACGCTTCCAGCACACTTATGGGAATGAGAAGACAAGCGCTTGCGGGACAAGCTGCAAGTTCCAGTTGTCTTCTTCTCCTCCTCCTCCTCCTCCTCCTCCTCCTCCTCCTCCTCCTCCTCCTCCTCCGTCTTCTTCTCATGCCTCCGCATTCTCTCCTCTCGTCCTCCTCTTCATCCCTCTGCACACCTTGCATGTTATCATCATCACGCGACTGCACCCTTCTGCATGCAGGCCCTGAGGGAACGCTGAGCCTGCACCCTGCTTGCATAGCATATATGGCGAGAAGCACGGCGTTGTGTGCCAGCACCAGGCAACGTATACATGAGACGACTCAGTTTGGATTGTCGGACTGCCTCAATGTTGCATTGTTGTTGTCAAGTATTGTCCCTTCTCCTCTCCTCCCAGTGCATGTCGTTACCGGCGCCCAGTTCATGCCACTACCAGCGCTGACATGCGAGCAGATCCTCCGCGGCACGGTTGTCTGGCGTCAGTTCCCGTCGGAGTCGTTCTGGTTGTAATTAGGGCTCCGCCGCCTGGCGGTTGACGCCGAATGACCAGTCGCACGCGGGCGCTCCGGGCCCTCGCAGGAGCGGCGGACGCCTGGCCCGCGGAGCGCAACGAGGCGGAGAGAGGGCGGCAGCTGCCGGGCGCGGCGGGCGGGGCCGCGACGCGGAGTGCTGGGCGCGCAGGCGGCCGGAGCCCGGCGGCGCCGAGCCCACGGAGCTCCGCAGCCCCCCGCCTGGCGCCGGGCGGCCCGGGCCCGGCGCCGACGGCGCCCCGCCGCGGCCCGCCGCGGCTAAACACGGCGCCGACCCGGGGCCTCCTCCGCAGACATCCGACGTCTCGATGTTTTCGAGACGCGGGCCCCCGACCTCCCGACCACTTCTCCCTGGGACCGGTGTTTTTCGTCCCGAGTCGTGTTTTGGTCGCCCCCCAGGCCCAGCTCGAGGGCCCCGAGGGGCCCAGAAGTGTATGGAAAGCCGCTGCCTCGATGTTTTCGAGACGCCCGATGTCTGGCTCCGCCAGCTCACCTGCCGCCGCTGCCGTCTGCCGCGCGGGGCGCGGCGGGCGCCGCGCGGGGCCGGGTCGCGGCCCTGCGCCTCTGGTCTGCGGGGCCGGCCCGCGCCCAGGTGGGCGCCGAGAGCGGGCCGGCCCCGCTGGAGGCCTCGGGGGCCGCCAGGCTCGACCACGGAGGGACCTATCGGAGGCGGGGGGGGGGGCCCTCGACGGATCTCCTTACGCAGCGAGTGGTCCATCCGATAGGTCCCTCCCGCCAGGCTCGACCACGGAGGGACCTATCGGAGGGCCGCCAGGCTCGACCACGGAGGGACCTATCTGCCGAGTACCTGGCCACCACTGGCGCTGGGTGGTCGAACTCTTGATTCAGCGTCCTCATGCTGGTGATACGTTGAGAGAGGACGTCGGTGCCAGCAGCGGCTTGCTCACGCACAGCTCGCACGTCACCTTCTCCCTCTCCTGCTGATTCTGCTTTTTGTTTCAAAGTTGATTCGATGGTCGCCTGGTCGCCGAGCGGAACTCGTGGAGATTGTTTGGGATGATAGTCGTGCTTGCCTTGTCCCTTTTCCCGTATCATGGGCCGTCGTTTATTGCGAAGGCCTTACGGCCGGTGCCGCCGACCCTACAGACGGAGACGACGAGCAGCACAAAGACGTTGAGGAGCAGGAGGCAGAGGACGTCAGGGAGCAGGAGGGGGGAGGAGGAGGAGGAGGAGGAGGAGGAGGAGGAGGAGGAGGAGGAGGAAGAGGAGGAAGGGAACAGGAGGAGGAGGACGACGAGGAGGAGGAGGAGAGGAGGGGAAATGAATAGGAGCAGCGCCAGCCAGGCGCTCGTCGTAAGGTGCGACTGGGTCCTGGGGTCCTGGGCCCGGGGCCTGGGAGTTCTGGACTTTTGGGGGGGCCGGTTCCTGGTGCTGGGTCTTGGGAGGAGGTCCTCGAGGGGGCTGGGTCCGGGAGGTTCCCGGGGACCTCGGAATTTTGGGTCCTGGGGCGCCCCGTGGCCGAGCGCCCAGGAGGCCGGTTCGGTTCCGGAGGGGGGCGGAGGAAAGAGGAGAGATGAAGAGGGAGGGGGGAGGGGGGAGGGAGGAGAGGGCGTGGTAGAATGCCTCGACTCTTGGCCCGTCTGAGGCTTCGCGTGGGCCCCGGGACCCCCGGGGGGGGAGTCTTATCCTCCTGGACACCTTCCGGGACTCCCCCCGGGACCCCCCCGGGACCCCCCCGGGATTCCCCCGGGGCCATCCCGGGACCCCCCCCCTCCTGCAGGGAAGGGATCAATGGGAAGGGGCTTCCCTTCGACTCAACGGCAACGTTGCTCTTGAGGGGGGGGCCCTGGGAAAGCGGGGGGGGAGCGGCGACGGGCCCAGGGAAGAGGGGGAAGGGGGAGGAGGGGAGACGGGCCCAGGGAACGGGCTGGCGCAGGGACTGGAGACGACGGAGACGACGACGAACGAACGACGGGAACGGAGAAGCCCCTCGCACACGCCGACACGGGGTCGGCGGATTTGTGTGTCTGGAGCGTGGCTGACAGATTTCCGAGCCGCCACCTTCGAGGAAAGTTATGGTGTCTCTTTGCTTGCAGGAACTGCGAGGACAAACAATCACATCGTGTGGAGTGCCAGCTGCTTGATCTGCGATATAGCAGAGTGACGAGCGAGCTCTTTCCCGCCCTGAGGCGTGAAAGGACTGAATGAGGCCAGCATGAATTGTTTATGTGTCCCGTGTGTTATTTGCCGTCAGCTGCGACTCGCGAACTCGTCGGCGCTGGAGCAGGTGCGTTACGTGGCGGTTGCATTGCTGTGGTCGCGGGTCTTCGCTATCCTTGCCTTGTAAGGACTCGCCCCGACCACGAGCGTGAACTCGTCGGCGTTGGAGCAGGTGCGTTATGTGGTGGCTGCACTTCAGTGACTGCGGGCCGTCGTGATTTTTGCCTTGCAAGGACTCGCCCCGACCACGAGCGGCCGCGTGGGCTCTCGCGTGGGCATCGACGCGGCGGCGGGCCCAGCGCACTGTGGACGCAAGAGTTGAAGGTCTTCGCCGTGAAGCTGATGATCCAGCCCTTGAGGCTGCCGATCTTGCCGCGCAGGCTGGGGATCGCGCCCTGGAGGCCCAAGATATTGACGCCGGGGATCGTCGGATTGAGTGCGTTGTCCCTGGAGCAGAACATCTGACCCTAGAGGCTGAAGACCTTGCCTCGGAAGCTGAAGATGTTGCCCTGGAGACTCAAGAGTATGATGTCAGAGACCGCCAGGATCAAGACGTTGCCCTAGGAGCTGAAGATCATGCCCTTGAGTCTGAAGATCTTGCCCTCGAGGTTGGGGTCCGTGATGTCCGATATCGTGAGGTTGGAGGTGTCGGCCGTGGAGTTGAAGATCTAGCCCTTGAAGTCGAAGATTGCACGTGTTCTGTCAGAGCGTCCCCAGAGCATGGGGACCACGTGGTGCGGGAAAGGGTCGATGATGTGCATTTTGAGGCTGTTGCAGATTCCGTGGTCGTGTCGTGATCTCTCGATGTGGACATGGGTAATATTGCAGAGCTGCGCCCCCATCCTGCACGGGTACCGAAGGCAGATCCCGCAGAAACAGAACCAACGCGGCATGAGACAGCCCCCGATTGCATCAAGGTTTTGATGAATTACCTTACCTCCGAAACGGCTTTTCCGACCTTTCAGAGATGTGCATGTTCCGTCATGCTGCTGGAAATGATGCGGTGGGGGCGTTGGTTAAGGAATGTGCCCAGGAGGATTCAGACCCTGGAGGGTTCCTTATATGAGAAGGGTGGCGGTGATATCCATGTCCAATCCACGATTGGCTTTCCACTGGCTTCCAGACCCTGGATTCCCTATCGAAGGTTCCGTACACATGGTGAATTCCTAAGTATTCGAAAGTTCTTTGATTTTTGGGGGGCCAAGATCGTTTCATTTCTAAGTGTTCTATCCGGGGGCTCTTCCTGGCCACTGGGGGGCCAGAAACAGTTAGAAACGAGCACAGTTAGACATGAGCGCGATGAGACATGAACGACGTGTATCCAATGCCAGCACCGTAGTGAGCACCGATTCGGCCAGGCTCCAGACTGCAACAAAGGCACTGAGGACCTCGAACCGCCGCTCTCTCGGGCCAGCTGGGTGTGAGGAGCTCGCCCCCCTCCCCTCCCCTCCCCGCTCGCCCCTCCCTCCACGCACCCCCTCCTTTCCCTCCTTCCTCTCACGCGCTCCATCGCCCCCTCTCGTCTCTCCGACGCTCGATCCCCCCCTCCCTCCCTCAGTCCCTCTCTCTCCCGCCCTCCCTTCCTTCTGTCTTTCCTGCCTTCCTTCCTCCCTCCCCCCTCCCCCCTCTTCCACTCCGTTACCTCCGCGCGCTTCCCTCCTCCGCGTGTCTCCCTTCCTCCCTCCTTCGCTCAATTCTCATCTGCCCCTCCTGGCCTGGTGACAACAGAGGGCGCCGACCTCTGTCGGCCCTCTCCTCCTCCCCGCCTCCTTCTCCTCATCCTTCTCCTCCTCCTTCTCCTCCTCCTCTTCCTCCTCCCTCTCCTCCTCCGCCTCCTCTTTGTCCTCCTCCTCCTCCTCTTCCTCCTCCTCCTCCTCCGCCCATCCTCCTCCTCCCTCCTCCTCCTCCTCCTCCTCCTCCTCCTCCTCCTCCTCATCAGCATCATCATCATCATCAGCATCAGCATCATCATCATCATCATCATCATCATCATCATCATCATCATCATCATCATCATCATCATCATCATCATCATCATCATCATCAGCATCATCATCATCATCATCATCATCATCATCATCATCATCATCATCATCATCATCATCATCATCATCATCATCAGCATCATCAGCATCATCATCATCATCATCATCATCATCATCAGCATCATCATCATCATCAGCATCATCATCATCCTCGTCCCATCCGAATCCTCCTCCACGCCGCGGGCAGCGCAGGGTGCGGGCTGCGGCGCCGCCTTCTTCATGGCGAGGTACAGGATCTGGCGGTGAGGGCGGCGCGGCCCCCCTTTCCCCCTCGGAGTGTGGCGGGGAGCCGCTCGACCCAGCGACAGCGCGTTGCCTCGCCGTCCTCGCCGTGCTCCCCTGCAGCCTGCCTCGCTTCCTCCGCCTCCTCCTCCTACTCCTCCTCCTCCTCCTCTTCTCCTCCTCCTTCTTTTCCTCCCCCTCCTCCTTCTCTTCCTCCCCCTCCTCTTCCCTCCTCCTCCTCCTCCTCCTCCTCTTCTCCTCTCCTCCGCCCATTCCGCGTACTCCTCACTCCTCCTCCCCATCCTCTCCTCCTCCTCCTCCTCCTCCTCCTCCTCCTCTTCCTCCTCCTCCGCCCATTATCCTCCTCCTCCCTCCTCCTCATCCTCCTCCTCCTCCTCATCCTCCTCATCCTCCTCATCCTCCTCATCCTCTTTGACGCTGCCCAGACGTGAGACGCAAGCTTGCCGCGGTCCAATGCAGGAAAAAATAACGCCGACTTAGCGAAGCCACAAACTACATCAATTTGGCGGGCACCGCGAACCTGGTAGCGCGAAACGACAAGAACAAGTAGAGAGCCGTAGCGCATGCGCCCGCCGCCAGGCGGTAAGACCGCAGCTACGCCTGATGTTACCTCGGTACCCCGCCCATTGTCACATGATAAACATCCCACTTCCCCCTAAGCTGGTCCAGGCAAGCGGTGTCGAGGTCAAATGCGAGCGCATTGCGAAACACAATGTGACATTGGCGCAGTGTATGCTGGCTGGCCCTGTAAGGGGTAACAACTCGCAGTTCTTAGGCTGCTACCAGTGTCGTGTCGGTTCCTCAGGGGGGGGCGTGTTCACCGTTCCAGTTCTTGAGGGGGTCGTCATTGTGGCCACCAGTGCGGCTGGTTGGGAGTCGTTGATATTGACGTGTTGCTTGCGTTTCGCGTAACTCATGTTGTAGTTATGAGATGGTCGCTTCTGACTCGTTGCGTGACTCTATTTGCTCGAGGTGCGTTGAAGCGCTATGGTCGTTCTGCACTCGTACTTGCTTGATTTCTGCGTGGCAATGGGGGGCGTGTGCTGTAAGCATCTCTAGATGTTGGTTTCGTTGCGCATTGTGCCTTGCTGCGTGCTCGACTCTGCCACGTGCGTCTTCGTCTTGACGGATTGCAGTCGCATTGCTGACTCGCGTGTGTAGTCTTGCGTGTCGCAATGTTTGAATGTGCTCGCGTGTCTCGCGGTAGTCGGTGTACAGGCGGTCGGTTGTTGCTTGCAGGTATCGTGTAGGTTTTTTCCTTGGTGGTTGTAGTTGTTGTGTTCGGGCCTATTCGTCTATGTTTTGTTGGGCTGCTTTGAGTTCTGCAATTGTATAGCCTTTGGCTTGGAAGTCGTCGCATGTTGCTTTAAGTAGTGCCCTGAGCAACTGCGTCTCGTCGTCGGTGTCGGCGTTAGGTATAGTGACGTTGAGTGGTACCAATGGTGGTCTCTCACGTGGGTAGGAGTTGAGCTGCACGTCTTGTGCGCGTGGTGATCGCGATTGTGGGCTGGGTGTGTGCTATATGTTGCGGGTCAGCTCCTGCTCAAGATTGGCATGCGTCTTGGTCTTGTGGATGTTGTCCGCGTGCTGCTGCTGGGCGTGCTTTAAGGTTGTTGCCGAGATCGTTGTGCAAGCTGCGTAATCGTGTTTGAGCTCACGGATGTACTGCAATCGTTCGGCCCTTGGCGTTTGGTCAGGTAGGTGTCTTGTTACGGCTGCCAGATCGCGACGTAGTTGGCTTGCAACGTGTCGTACGTTCTTCATTGTCAGGGTTGGTGGAGCGAGCTCTCCAAGTTCGGCTGCCATGGATGTGTTCCATGCACCTACTTCGAGAGGGGTGGCTCTAGGCTTGTCGTTGTGTACGACGTCGTCGTAGTAAGCTTCTGGTGTGTCCTCGATCCAGGACAGGTTCTCTCGTGCGGTATCTGCTGCGTGGCCTGGGTTGCTGCCGAAGCTGTGTTGCGGCACGCTCTCCGTGTTCTTTGTTGGTGTAAGCGGTGGTTGTTTTGGTTTGGGTATTGGAGTGGTATTCCTCTGCTGTGTTGGGGTGCGCGGCCGCTGTGTCCAGCATGGCGTGGTCGGCGCTGGTTGGCAGTAGGTGTCGCCTTTTTGCTGCTGGCAGTGTGGCTGTGCTGCGTCGGTCGGACCCTGTTGAGCTGGACGGGCGTATCTGCTGTGCCCGACAAGCTGCCAGGAAGTCCTTTGCCTTTGCTGTAGTGCTGTCGCTGTTGGTGTCTCCACCTGCCTTTGCCTCTGGCCTCGGGGGCTCGTATGTGGCCGTGCATGGTGTCGGCTGTCTGTTTGGTGGTTGTTGTGCGCTGTGATGTTGGTTGAGTAGGAGCTGTGCTCCTTGGAGCTGCTTGGAGATTAGTTGGTCGAGTGGGGTTCGCGCCGAGGCTACCCGCAATGATACGCGTTCAACTGCTCGTTTTCCTTTCTCCCTGCGGTGCCAGGCAGGGTTGAGAGAAGTCCACGGAGCCGTGGTGCTGCTGCCTGCAACATGCAGCAGTCGCAGGCCAAATGGCCACGTGAGTGGTGCTAGTTGTGTGGGCGTACGAGGTAGATGTCGTAGCCGAGGTGGCGCGTGCTGCCGCACGTGGTAGCACAGGATGGCGCAGCACAGCGCTGAACGGGAGGAAGAAATCCGTATGCAATAGGTGTAAAGGATAGGGGGGTGCACAGAGATCGTGGAGGTATGTGAACGCATGTAATGGGAAGTGGAAAAGTCGGTTGTTTGTTCTACGATTGTTTTACGATGCAACAGGTGTAAAGGATAGGGGGTGCACAGAGATCATGGAGGTATGCGAACGGGATGGAATGGGAAGTGGAAGAGTCGGCTGTTTTTTGTTTTACGATCGTGGGTGGCCCCCCTAGGGGGGTGCACAGAGGTCATGGAGGTTTGCGAACGGGATGGAATGGGAAGCGGAAGAGTCGGTTATGTTTGTTATTACGATCGTGGGTGGCCCCCCCAGGGCTGGCGCACTGCCACAAGCGTCTGGGCCCGAGGCTCCTCCTCCTCCTCCTCCTCCTCCTCCTCCTCCTCCTCCCTCCTCCCTCCTCCCTCCTCCCTCCTCCCTCCTCCCTCCTCCCTCCTCCCTCCTCCTCCTCCTCCTCCTCCTCTTCCTCCTCCTCCTCCTTCCCTTCCTCTTCCCTTTGTGCTCTTCTTATGGCTCCTCCTCCTCCTTCTTCTTCCGCCGCCTCCTCCTCATTGCGTCCCTCCCTTCCTTCAGCCCCCTTCCTGCTACTGCCCCTCCTTCTCCTCCTCCTCCTTCCCCTTCGCGGGAGAGCCCGCGCTGTCTGCACGAGCAGGGGCCCGGATCGCGGGCTTTGGCGCCTTTCTGCTCTCTCTCTCGGGGCTCCGGGGACGGGGGCGCAGTGCAAACGGGGGTCGGGCGCTCTCCTGCCGTTGCCGCTGCCGCGGCCGCTCCCGCGGCTCCGCCTCATCGGCGGCGACTTCCGAGCCGAGGACCGGCCACAACGCTGTATAGCGTTTCGTTTCGTGTTCGTTTCGTTCCTTTTCTGTTAGTTTTTTTTGTTTCTCGTTGTTCGTGTTGTTTCCGTTGCTCGTTTCGTTTCGTTCGTTGTTCGTGCTCGTTTTCGTTTGGCATCTGTGTTGTTCTTCGTTTCGTGGCTCGTTTCTGTTTCGTTTCGTTGCTCGTGCTCGTTTTCAGCGCCTCGACTCGCTGCTCGTTCCGTTTGGGGCCAGTGCCGTTTTACACGTTCGGTTTCAGTGTTGGGCCTCGTTTCGCTTTTCGTTTTAAGCGCCATGTTGCTTTAAACATCGTTGTGGTCGGCCCTTGCCGATCAACGATTTTTAGACAACTCGATGGGCGGCGGGGATGGGGTTCGGAATCCGGTGGGGGGTAGGGTTAGGGGATGCCGGCGGGTGGCAAAATCCGAGCCCTACCCCCGCTTCCCATCGACACAAGAGAGTCGGCGGTTGGTTGGGGTAGGATTCGGATGTCGCCACCTATCCTCTGGAGACGATGTTTGCACCCCCTTGCGATGACGGGTATTTCCTGTCTGGGGACAGTTGTTGTATCCCCTGTCCTCCCCCTGCCTGGAGACAGTGTTTGCCTCTGAGCCCTCTCGGGCGCATGGCTTTTGATTGACTGACTGGCGATCACGGGCGTGACCTGGAGAGGGGGGCGTGACTAGGGAGGGGGGATGAGGAGGGGCGGCTGGGCCGGTCACGGCCGTTGTTGCGAAGAATAAGCGATTAGCTTTTGGCGCGGCCGTCGCTGGGGAGAGCCTTGGCTGGGCGGAGGCCCGCGATCCATCGCCACGAAGGAAATTCAGGTGAGGAGCAGGCACCAACACTGCTACCCTTGCTTCGTTTTGGGAATTGTTCGGCCTCCTGGGGGGCCCTCGTCGCCACGGCTGGGTTCGCTTCGAAATTCTGGTTGGAGCGCACCCCAGGAGAGGTCTGGGGAGTAGCGATATCGGTATCGGTATCTTGCAGTTTCTCCAGAAACGGGTCCAGGAGGTTTTCAAAACGGCGCACTTACGGGTCCACCATGAGATCCAAAGACGGCTCAAGAGGTCCCAAGAGGCTCGCTACAGGCTACAAGAAATCCTTCAAGCCGCTTAGGCAGAGTCCCCTGACAGTCAAGAGTGTAGCAAAACCTTGTGCGTGTTCGGTGCATTCTCGCTTCTTCTGCCTTCTCAAACGTTGCTTGGCTTTGTCTTCCGCCCCATGGGCGTGCGTTTGCTGGGTTTTCTGGGTTTTAGCCTACCTGGTGCCCGTGGGTTTTTCGTCGCCGCCTCGCGCGCTGGCTGGACTGCACTCTCTTGGGACCGTCTTGGGGGCCTCTTGGGCCGTTTTGGGGCCATCTTGGAGGCCTCTTGGGCGATCTCGGGGCGATCTTTTCGGGCTCTTGGGCCGTCTCGGCAGGAGGAGCGAGGAGGAGGAGGAGGAGGAGGAGGAGGAGGAGGAGGAGGAGGAGGAGGAGGGGAGCAGCGAGGAGCAGCGAGGACGAGCGAGGACGAGCGAGGAGCCTTCTCAAACGTTGCTTGCACCGAAGGCTTCTCACTTCTTCTGCTGCGCATGCGGCAGGTCTGCCCGGTGTTCGGCCGCTGGACGCCCGTAGGCGCCTCGCGCGCCGGCTGGGTCTGCTGCTGTGCTCGGCCTGTGGGCGCCCGCGGGCGCGTCGTGGCGCTGGGGCGAATGCGCCACACATATCCAGCGCGGGGAGAGAGGAGGAGGAGGAGGAGGAGGAGGAGGAGGAGGAGGAGGAGGAGGAGGAGGGGGAGGAGGAGGAGGAGGAGGAGGAGGAGGAGAGGAGGAGGAGGAGGAGGAGGAGGAGGAGGAGGAGGAGGGAGGAGGAGGAGGGGGAGGAGGAGGAGGAAGGGGGAGGTGGACAAGGACGCATCAGCCACGCTGCAACACACCCTCCCGTCCCGAGTCCCCTCCCCATCAGTCCCTGCAGCTGTGCGGGCGCCGCCCTCGAGTGACCAGCACCATGTAGCATGAAGAGATCGGTTCGGTTCGGTTCGGTCCGGTTCTGCAGCCGGTTCGGCTTTGCTTGGCCCGTTCGGTTTTTGACGCCAGTTCGGTTTCGGCCGGTTCGGTTTTCCGGTTCGGTTCGGTTCGGTCCCACCAGTTCGGTCCCACCGTTTCGGTTCGGCCCCACCAGTTCGGTTCGCCTCGATTGACGGCTTGGTTCGATTGACGGAGGAATATATTTGGTGCAATGTATATCGCAGGCTGCACCGCGCATGTTCTTCCCCCAAAAGCAAAGCAGCCCAACAGCAGCAGAGGTGAAGAGGCGGGTCGAGAACGTGCGTGAGAGCACAGCTATGTGCACCTCAGTGCTTCGTTCGCAGGGGATCGTAGCCGTCTGCACTGAACATGTGGCCGGCCTGGATCAGCCACGCGCAGAGGGGCGTGGGGGGAGGGCTCCTTAGAAGCACCCCTGCTTCCTAGAAGGCGCGGGCCTTATATATATATATATATATATATATATATATGTGTGTGTGTATATAGATATGTATATATATACACATACATATTGGGCCTTATATATATATGTATACATATAGATAGATAGATAGATAGATAGATAGATAGATAGATAGATAGATAGATATATATATATATATATATATAGATAGATAGATAGATAGATAGATAGATAGATAGATAGATAGATAGATTGATTGATCGATAGATAGATAGATATATAGATAGATAGATAGATAGATAGATAGATGCGAGGCCGGCGCCTTCCAAGAAGCAGCCTCCTGCTAGGAAGCCCCGTGGGCGCGCCGCCACGTCCCGCCAAGGCCGAGGCGACCCGCTCGCTGCCGCCGGCCGCACGCGCGCGCCTCCGCGCGCGCGCGCGCGTCGAGGCATCCCACCCGCACCAGGGGCTGCCGGAGCACATGCAGCACGGAGGGGGAAAAACACACAGACACAATGAATCGTCGATTCCGCAGAAGATGTGGGAAGACATGGGGAGTGGGGGGGAAGGCAAAAACCCAGAAACTATGTTGTTTGTGTGTCCCAGAGCCCCTTCAATGCGGCACGGCGGCGTACGAAGCCCCAGTGGGCTTTTGGAATGCAGGACGTGTCCAGAGCCCAGAGTTGCAGCCCGCGCTCTTCCTCGTCGCCCTTCAGCAGAACCATGGGTTTTCGGAGCATATCCGGCACGGAAGCGTACGAACCCCCAGTGGGCTCTCTTGGAATATTGGACGTGTCCAGAGCCCAGGGTTGCAGCCCGCGCTCTTCCTCGTCGCCCTTCAGCAGAAACATCGTTCTCATCATCGCCAGCGTAAGTATTACCATCGTCGTCAGCATCACCACCATCGTGATCGTCTTCATCGTCGATGTTGTCGCCCTCATCGTTGTCGTCGCCGTGGCCGTGGCCGTTGCCGTGGCCGATGTCGTCGTCACCACCATCACTTGCCCGCCCGAGCCATGGATCTGCGCGAGTGGTGTCCACGCGCCACTGCGCCACTTGAGACTTGCGAGCAAAGTCCGATGGGTAGCCGCACTCACGGCATAGTTTGCGACTTGCAGGCAGGTTGCGGGTGTGTGGGTGGGATGCTTGCTCGAGCCTGGGAGGTGGTCGCGCGCGGATGCCCGCCGCCGATTGCGACGCCGAGACTGCGCCTGATGGCCTGCACCGCACACGTTGCGCCGCACAGCTTGCGACGCTTTGTCTACGCCACGGAGGTTGCAGCCCCCTTGCCCGCACCGCGCATCGTTTGCTACCGGTCCCACCGCCACCACCGTTCTGGCTGGTTTACGGAGGTCCCTTCCAGAAATTCAGGCCCAAGTGTACGCTTGAAGCGAGCGGCCGGAGACAGCGATGACAGGGTACACCCGCGGCGCTCTTGAGAGAATATTCTCTGGCGCGACCCACGACACGTTCAAACCTGTCTTGGAGGTCCGCAACATTCAGGGGCTGGCCGATCGGACGTTCATCTCCGTCTCCGACGGCGTTCATGTGGTGAAGACCCTTCTTTTCGATCGCGGCCTGGTGCAGCAGATCTCCATGAACGCGCTGCTCCGCCTGACGAACTACGCGCTGCAGGACATGGGCAACAAAACGTTCCTCGTCGTGAACGCGGCCGAGACCAACCTCGGCTTCCTGCCAGAGCACGAGCGAGTTCCAGCGCAGTCTCTCCAGAAGCTGTACCACCGCGTGGGCGGAGACTGGCCGACCAAATGCGATGGAGGAGAAGGAGAAGCAGGAGGCGAAAGAGAAAAACAAAGGAGGGAGGAGGAGGAGGAAGAGGAGGAGGAAGAAGAGGAGGAAGAGAAGGAAGAGGAAAAGCAGAAGGAGGAGGAGGAGGAGGAGGAGGAGGAGGAAGAGGAGGGGGATCTACTGGACGAGCCTTGCGCGTCGGACCAGGACCTCGGCCTGGGGCCCCAGACCCCTTGCGTGACAGACTGGTCGGCTGAGCCGCGGGCTCTTCCCTCGCTCCTCCTCGCCCTTCCTCCTCCTCGCCCCTCCTCCCCCCTCCTCCGCCTGCTCCTCCTCACCCTCTCTCCTCCTCGCCCCCCTCCTCCCCCTGCTCGTGCTTACGGCCGGGAGCTTTGGGGCAGCGTGTCGCTCTGCAGGTGCGGGCCCACCACGCTTCGGCGCGGCACGCCGCCACTCCCCCCGTCCAGGAGCGTCCGCGTCCCCAGCTCCGAGCCTCCCGCCTCGCGGAGCGGTGCGACATGCCATCTGCCTGCAGGGCCCAGCGCGTCGCTTCGGGCCGCCGCGGCGACGCGCCGTGCCCGAGGTTCCCGACCGTGCCCGGCTGCCTCCTCGCTCCCCCGCTCGCCGACAGCTGGCGCGAGGGTCAGGAGCAGTCCTAGCTTCGGAGGGGGTTTTCCTGATGCAGGAGGGGAAAGAACGCACAGTCACAATGGATCGTCGACTCCCAGGACGGGAAGCGTGGGGAGGACGGGAACCCAGAAAGTATGGGGCAACGTGAGGAGCCCTGGGATTTGTGTGTATTTATTTGTGTGTCCCTGGGCCCCTGGACTGACGGTCTTCGCCGTTGGGCTCTCCACCTTGGAGTGCTCGTCGTTTTGGGTGTCTCCCTGGGGCCCTGGGCCTTCGGCGGAGGGGCTCGCGTTCTGGATCGACCTCCGTGTGGTCATCCTTCGACGGCGTACGTCTCGCCGCACACATGCATGCTTCCCACACACACATGACAGTGTGCATACATGCCCACACATCAGAAACACAAAAAAAAAGAGGCAGATGAGAGAGAGAGAGAGAGAGACAGAGGCCTGACCAGCCTAGCCTCAGTCGGCGGCGCGGGGGCGGCGCGTACCAGGGAGGGGGGCTAAAGGAGGGCAGCCTCACGAGAGGGCGGGGGGCGTGCCGTAAGGCAGGGGGGCCTTCTCGGAAGCCCTCCCGGCTTCTGAGCAGACTTCCTGGAAGCCTCGCGGCCCGTCCAGGGCCTGCTGAGCAGCCCCCACGTCTTCTCACAAGGCCCCCCCCTCGCGCCACCCCCGCGTCCGCGCCGCCAGCGCCGAGGTCGCGTGGGCCCAGCGCCCGCCAGGCGTTGGCCCCCGCCCGGCGTTTGCCCCCTCCCGGTCCGTCCTCGCCCTCCCTGGGGAGGTGCGGGGGGGGGGGGGAGGGCGGAGGAGAGGAGAGAAGGAGAGGAGAGGAGGGCGGAGGAGAGGAGGAGAAGGGGGAGGGCGGAGGAGAGGAGAGGAGAGAAGGGGGAAGGAGAGGGGGGAGGGCGGAGGAGAGGAGAGAAGGGGGAACCGCCAGGGTGGGGGGAGGACGGGCGACGAGTGGGGGGGTGGAGGTGCGAGAGGGAGGGATGGAGGAGCAGCGGAGGAGAAAGGCGGGAGAAGCCCGGGGAGAGGAGTCTCACCTCCTCCTTCTCTCCTCCTCCTCCTCCTCCTCCTCCTCCTCCTCCTCCTCCTCCTCCTCCTCCTCCTCCTCCTCCTCCTCCTCCTCCTCCTCCTCCTCCTTCATTTCTTTTATAAATAACTTCTCCCTGTCGCACCCCGAGGCCAGTTTTGTTGGGCGGGCAGGGCGCTTCGCCTGAGACTTCCTCACCGCTTATGACCCTGAGGCTGAAGCTGAAACATGTTCAACAGCTTCACAGATGGAGGGCGAGTCGTTTTCAAAATGAGGCTCTCGCCGTAGCGCTGCGCACATTCGTTTAAACAGTTGCAAGAGCTTCACGGATGGAGGACGGGTCCTTTTCAAATTGTGGTTCTCGCCGTAGCGTCGCGGATGGACGGCGTTCCGCTTTCAAACTGTGGTTCTCGCCGTAGCGCCGCGCACATTCGTTTTAAACAATTGCAAGCGTTTCACCGATTGAGGGCGGTTCTTTTTCAAACTGTGGCTCTCGTTTTAGCGCCGCGCATATTCCGTTTTTTCTCTACAAAACAAAATGCAAGAGTTTCACGGGTTCCCATGATCAGCGTACCAGAAATGAAGGATTCAGGATTATGAGGGTGCAACAGTTACTTTGGTTCGCGGTGTTGAAGTCCCAGGAATGGTCTCCTGGTGCGATTCATGATTGTGAAGATGCAACGTTCAGGTTGATCCATGGCGTTGGAATCCCAAGATCAATGCTCTGGCATGCTTCAGGGTCTTCAAACGGTTGCCTTCCAACGAGGCAGTTCACTCAGTGGAAATGAACCGTTGCAGGAGCCCATGAGGAGGAAGCTTGGAGGGAGGGTTTATCCCAACATCGTTGATGACTCTCGGGTTTACTCTGGTCCTCCTCCTCCTCCCAGTCCTCCTCCCCCCCCCTTTGTCCTCCTCCCTCGTCCGTCCTCATCCTCCTCCCCCGCCTCCTCCTCCTCCTCCTCCTCCTCCTCCTCCTCCTCCTTCTCCCTCATCCTCTGCCCAGGAGTGGCCCAGTTGGCAGACTCCGGCCTGCTGACGCAGCCGTCCGCCGCGTTTGCTCCGCAGCGCCAGGCCCCAGCCCCTTACGGCAGCGTCGAGACGCCGGAGAAGCGAACAGGAGACCGGGTTCGGCTGCTCATCTTCCCTCTCATCCCCCTTCTCTTCTTCTTGTTGTTCCTCTGCCGCCTCCTCCGCCTCGTCCTCTTCCTCCTCTCCCTGCTTCTTTCATGTCTTTCCTCCTCCTTCTCCTCCTCCTCCTCCTCCTCCTCCTCCTCCTCCTCCTCCTCCTCCTCCTCCTCCTCCTCCTCCTCCTCCTCCTCCTCCTCCTCCCTCCTCCCCTCCTCCTCCCTCCTTCCTCCTCCTCCTCCTCCTCCTCCTCCTCCTCATCTCCTCCTCCTCCTCCTCCGTAGCCATTTTGGCTCAAGACTGATGCTTTGGCGGGCTGTGCCCGCATTGGCTAAAACGGATACCGCTAGTCCGCGGCAGATCACTGAGTTTACGGAGGTCCCTCGGTCGAAGCGGCTGAGGGGTTCGCTAGCCTCCATCCCGTCCCGCCTGACGCCAGGGGGAAGCCTGCGGCGGCACGTGGCTTTGTGTCTTGTCCTCATGACGGCTGTCGCTACAAGTGGAATTGGAAGCGGCACACGGCATGCTGGCAGTGCGGAGGCCTTCTACGTCCTGTCGGTGGCCAGCCTCCACCACGTGATGCAGGGTCGTGGAGCCGTGGACCGCCCGCGCTACCTGGTCCAGTGCAGCCAGGACACCCACCAAGCCCCTTCGTACGGCCGCCCCCTGGGCAGTGGGCTCCACCAGCGGCGGCCACCCTCGGCGACGGCAGTGCCAACCCTTTCGCTCCTTCGACCGACCAGCTGTTCGAGGCCCTGCTGCGCCGCGCCCCGCAGCATGGCGAGCGCCTGGCAGCGCTCAAGAAGGAGTTCGAGGTCGCTCCGCCGCCAGCTGCCGCCGCCCCAGTCAAGCCCAGCCTTGAGCGCGAGCGAGAGGCACAGCGGCTGGCAGCGGCTGCGCGCAAGGCTGATGAGTCCCTTGCGAAGGCGATCGCTCACGAGCAGGAGTGCACCGACTGGCTGGCACGGGCTCAGGATGCTGTGCAGCAGGCCGCGCAAGATGCAGCGGATGCCAGGCTGGCCCATGAGCAGCAGTTGGAGCAGGACCTCCAGCGCCTCAAGTGTCGAGAAGGTGCTGCACCTGCTGCCGCTGCCGCCGTCCCCAAGCCCAAGCTCAACTTGTCCAGCTTTCTCGACGAGGGCGACGAGCTCGGGCAATTGTTCGAGTTCGAGGACGGCGAGGCTTTCGACTTCGCCGATCTTGACCTGGCCAAGGAGGACATCGAGGCATGGCAGAAGCACAAGATCTCTTTGGCACAGGAGATCAAGCAGGCGATCAGTGCTGCGATTGGCCCAGCGGCTGCTCAGCTGGGCGCTCGCAGACAGCAGTTCAAGGAGTTCAAGGCTCGCATGGCCTCCAAGCGTCGACGCGTGGGAGCTCAAGGCGAGGCAGCTGCTGAAGGTAAAGATCGTGGTGAGGAGCAGCCTGCAGGTGGAGACCAGCCTGCTGCCCCTGCCGCAGGCGACGGTCAGGCAGCGCCTTCTGCAGGGCAGCGCGCCGCGGCCTCGGCAGCAGCCCCTGCCGCCGCTGCTGCAGCAGCGCCTCCCTCGCAGCCCCAGGAGGCAGCGGCAGATGAGTCTCCCCCGAAGGCGAAGGCGTCCCAGGAGTCAGTGCAGCGGCTTCTGGCAGCCGCCAGGGGCAACCCGCCCTCGTCGGAGACCTTCGCTGACGCTGCTGTGGCTCCACAAAAATGCGGGTAGCACGATCCGTCTGTACCCGAAGCCGAGACAATCTCAAAATGCGGCACCAGAAGTTCGGCGATTGCTACTGCCTAATCTTTCCATGTGGGGGCACAAGGCCACCAAGCTTTTTGCAGAGAGTGATGTTGATATCATCATCATGCCCGAGACGCACGTGCTAGCATGCGACACTCAGGATATTTTGAGCACGCTGAAGCAGCACAGATGGCAAGGTATTGTTTCTCCAGCTTACCCCACGACCTACGTGAAGAAGGCAGGTGGCATTGTTCTGGGTATCCGTCAGCATCTCTGTTGGTCTTCTTATCGCCACTTGTCGGACGACCCTGACAACGCGATCGGCGTAGTTGACGTCAGCAGCAAGCAGAAGCTATCGGGGCCCTTGTCCTTCAAAGATGTGGTGGCGGTCGAGTGGAAGATCGCCAGAGTCCCGCTGCTGGTGATAGGCGCGTATTTGACTGTCTCAGTGGGGCTGGAGGCACCCATCAATGTCGCAAAGCTTCTCACCATATCGGCGCTGTTGGACAATCATGCGGGGCCTTGGATCATCATGGGGGATTTCAACGCTACTCCCCTGGAGATGGCTACTTGGATTCGTAAGTGGAATGGACATTTTTACCACCCTCCTGGCATCACCCACACGTCCACGAGGGGCAAGGGGCAGCGAATTATCGACTATGCTGTGGCCTCTCAGGATTTTTCTACACTTTTTCATGATGCGATTCAGTTGGATGCTGAGGGTGGTGACCACTACGGCATGATCTTGGAGTTGAATGTTTCGGCACAACAGTCTGCGCGTCGAGTCTTGGACTTACCGAAGATGTTCTTGCCGCCGCTGCCCACCAAGCTAAAGGCTGACCCCAACAGCAAACGGTCGAGGAAGAAGCTGGAGCTGGAGCAGCGACGGCAGCAGCGAGTTCTGGACCACCCGGAGGATCTTGATCAAGAACCTCCTGAACCCGAGCCTGAAGACGAGGAGTTCTTGGCGCAACCTCAGCAGGCCAGCACATGCACGAAATACCCAGAGGAGGCGCGCAAGTTTTTGCATCGAGATTTTTTCGACTTCGACTCCGAGGCGCTTCAGCAGATGTGGCAGTCGCATATTTATGACCATAAGGTTTCCGAGGTCAAGCCTGAAGCGCAGGACTGCCACCCAGCCAAGTACTTAGAATGGACGGTTGAAGATCTGGATAAGCTTTGGACCACCATTGACAACAACACTCTCCAGCACCGTGAGTGGACCCTGCCGCCAGATTGGATACAAGACAGTCTCTCGTATAAGTACGATCCCGAGACTGCCATCGAGCTGGGATCAGACTACGGAAGATTTACGTCAGTTTTTGAGAATGTTCTATGTCGTGTACTTGAGGTACCACAAGATCGAGCTTGGCATTACAAAGGTCGTGGAGCTGCGAGGGAATTCAAAACTTTGCCGATTTCGACGCCCGCGCCAACAAGAGCGCATTCAGATATGTCAATCAAGTGGTGGCTGCAGGTTTCTGGTTGGATTCAGGAGCTTATTCGAGTCTCTGCCAGTGGGACCGAGCAGCACTTCGAGGAGTTCTCTACTGCAGCAGGTGGCGGCTCCTCCCCTCCTCCCCTCGTTTTGCCCAGCCCAGTTTCGAAAACAAAACAAGTCAGGAAAGCATCGAGAACAGACTTCTTGGTGCATAGGTTGGCACAGGCTCCTGCAGACATGCCACTTTCAGGTTTCGGCCAGGTAGTAGGTAGAGATCGGCAGGACTGGGCCAGTACACTTCTTAACATTCACAATCTACCAAGAGCAGCTCTCATTATGATGGGCGCATCAGCGGGTAAGATCGCTGCAGCTCTGGAGCGTAAGGCGGCCAAGGAGAGTTACAGCGCTTTTCAAACTTGGATTCGAGATTCTTTTGCGCAAGGCTGTGGGAAGTTGCGTCGGTGCGTGAAGCCCAAGACGCGCGTTGAGACAGCGTACCGCGACCTGAAAGGAAGTTCCACGAGCCTCAAGGAGATTTTGGTCCAGAAGAGTCAGCTGTGGCAACGCAAGTGGGCATCCAAAATTTTGTCAGTGCAAAAGCTCTTTCAACTCCTTCGACGGGCTCACGCTAAGGCAGCAGCGCAACCTTGGCCAGCTCTGGAGCCTGAGCAGATCGCCATCACCGTCAAGCAGATCAACTCCAGCAAGGCGGCAGGCATCGAACAGTTGGGCGGTACCCTCAAGTATTTACCTCCAGCTGGCATTGCACACTTGACTGGGTTTTTGAATGAATGCGAACGGCGAGGAGGCTGGCCTTGGCAGATCCAGACTGCCATTGTTGCTCTGTTGAGGAAAGGCGCTGACTCTGATCGTTCAATTGGTCTGATCCCAGATGTGATACGCTTGTGGAGTTCAGCAAGACAGATTTTTCCCTCTGAATGGGTCGAGCAGATGGCTGGCAAGTGGGACAATGCGATCAGAGGTTCTTCTTGCTTGCGTGTAGGACTTTTACGAGCCTTCACTGACGAAGCCGTCAGCATGGGGCCCAAGCACACCGTCTCGGCTAGCCTACTGTGGGACATCGACAGCTTCTACGACTCGTTAGAGTACGAGCGTCTGTTCGAGCAGGGCTTGGCCCTGGATTTTCCGCCTTTGCTGTTGCTGATGGAAGGGCTGGCTCATCTTATAGTTAGAGTTTTTCGGGAAGCAGGGTGCTATTCGCCACCAGTCCAGGCCAACAAGTCCATCATTGCAGGAGCTCGTAGAGGGGTCGATTTTGGAAGATTTTATCTCTACAGTATCCTTGAAGCTGTGTACAACAAGTACTCACCGTCGGTCAATACGTCGTCTTGGGTAGATGATATCACTCAGTATGCATACGGGTCCGTCAGGTTCCTCTCCCAGGCGCTCACCAAGGCTGGGGTTCTCTTGGGCAGGCTCTGCAACAAGGCGCACTTGAGCATCGCAAGCAAGAGCAAGATCATCGCGGGGGACCCTGGCTTAGCAAAGGACATTGCGCGCAAGTTGGCACAGCACAATATTAAGATCACGGTAGCACAGAAAGCAGTCGATCTAGGCACCGACAGAGGCACGAACTTGCGAGCACGACCTAAAGCAGCAGCACGTCGCAAAGCAGCATGGAAGCAAGTAGGCCGAGCTCGGAAGCTTATTGGAGCTGGCAGAACAGGCAGAGCAGCAGCACGTCGCGTGATACATCGTGGATGTTATGCAAAGGTGCAGTATGATGCAGCTGTGTATGGTATGAGCCCTTCTGCAGTGCAGGCTTGGCGCAGAGCTATAGGAGGCACGTTCACGATGTCGGTCCGTGGCCGGTGCCTCGACAC